ATTATTTATTAATGGACTATGTACAACTATTGGGTATTATACAACGTCTTAAACTTTGGAATCAGATTGTACACTGCTCCCCTCACTTCCTACTCCACACTGATTTTCATCAAAGCTACCACCAAAACCCCAGCTTCCCAATGATATGAAAGGGATGTAGCATAATCTAATGTTGAAATCATGAACACGTCACACCTAGAGCTAGTAGTTCTTGGGTATCCCAGAGATGGCCAATATAGTTGTGTTTCCCTCAAAAATTTAAAATATCATATGGCACCTCCATCAATCTAATGTGTGGCACCAGTAGATTCAAATGATAAAGCTGGTTCCCTGTGAGCTGGCAATGGGAAAACAACTTCATTAAATTAGCTTTGAAATTATTCCAACCAAATAGCTCAATCAAAATTATTTTGTTTTCCCTCAAGCAAAGTCTTCTGGGAAGGATAAGAGGATAGTGTGGGAAATCAGGCTGAGCTCAGGACTCTAATGGTCCCCATGTCCCCCCATTCTAATCTTTCCAACTCAAAGCTGAGAACCAACATCAGCCTCCTAAGCAGCACTTCCCATGGTGTCTGGGTCTGGATTTCCATCCAACCTATTGACTTTTCCAATGTCTTTACAAATGTTTGAGGCATTGCAAAGGTCTAGGAAAGCACTGGAGGTTGGCCCATCACTGAACTGCTAACTGCTAAGTAAGCCCTGCTCCCTTCCCAAACTAAAAGGGATTTTCTTCTCCCAGGAATCACTAGTTAGTTCCTGGGACCAACACTATTCCCCCCCAACCCCCCAACACACCCCCATCAAGTACAGAACTGCTGCTATCCAAGCCCACCAAAATTGGGATTTAAAAGCATTTTTTTTTCTCTAAAATTTGATGAGCCCAATTTCCTATCTTAATTTAGTGAGATGGCTTGCAATTTTCTATTATCAACACACTAGAGGCCCAGTGCACAAAATTCATGCACTCGGGGTGGGGAGGTCCCTCAGCCCAGCCTGTGCCCTCTCACAGTCCGGGAGCCCTTGGGGGATGTCTGGCTGATGGCTTAGGCCCGCTACCCATGGGGAGTCAGACATCCTTAGTGCTGCTGAGGAGGCGGGAGAAGCTCCCGCCACACCGCTGTGCTTGCCAGCCAGAAGCTCGGCTTCCCCCCGTGGGAGCGCACTGACCACCTACTGGGTTGAGCGTCTGCCCCCTGGTGATCAGTGCGCATCATAGTGACCAGTAATTCTGCAATTTGGTTTATTTGCATATTAGCCTTTTATTATATAGGATATGTAATTAAATAAAACCCAAAAGGCATCTCCAACTTGTACAGAAGGAAGCTCCATACACGCAGTATTTAGAGAAGTTAGTCAAGAATACAGGGATGTGGAAACAACTCAAATGTTTATAGCCAGATGAATGGAGAAACAAGCATGGTATGTACATATAATGGAGTATTATTCAGCCTTAAAAAGGAAGGAAATTCTAACACGTGCTACAATGTGAATGAACCTCGAAGACATCATGCTGAGTGAAATAAGCCATATTCAAAGGGACATATGACTGTATGATTGCACTTATTATAGGGTCCCTAAAATAGTCAGACTCAGAGACACAAAGTAGAATGGTGGCTGCTGGGGGCTGGGAGAGTGAGGAATTATTATACAGATTTTCAGTTTAAGAAGAAGAAGTTCTGAAGATGGGTGCTGGTGATGGTTGCAAAACAATGTGGATGTACTTAATGCCACTGAAATACATATGTAAAAATGGTCAAAACTGTACATTTTATATTATGTATAAAATTTTTTAAACTCACAGGGTTGACTTTCTGGTCGGGGAGCCTTTGATTAAACTGGAGTCATATCCTAAATGTCACTTGGACAGCTTGCAGCAGACCCAGAGATGACCAATGTTGGTGATACAGTGTTAAAGAACACACGTGATGTTTTAAAACCCAAAAAGTCTGTTAGAAAGGAAACTTATCTAAACAAGAGCAGTAGCAAAAGAAACAATGATAGAACAGGGCTTCTACCTCCTCCAGGCCTACAGGAGAAAGTGTGAAGTATTTCTTACAAATTTCAGGATTTCCCAACCCTTCAGACATGAGTAGAAAATTCACACTCATCTTCTCTTCAAAGTTGGTATTGCACTTTTCATGCTATAATAGGAGGCATGACGAAACAGGACCTAGAATAGGAGCTTGAAAAATGAGCAAATGCAAACTGACCCGGGTTCCAGAACCCAGTGTCCTGGGCATGAGGCTTCCTATGCCAAGCTCTGTTCTAAATGCTTTCCAATATTTACTACATCTAATCCATGACCACCGTATGGAGCGATAACATTATTATCCACCTCTTACAGAGGAGTAGCGTGAGGCACAGGGAGGTGTCATAGCATGCTCAAAGTTTGTAAGCGGAGCCACCAGGATTTGAATCCATGCAGTGGGCCTCCAGAGCCTATGCTCACAGACATATCCCGGCTTGAAACACCGTTTGAAAGGTATTCACATGCTTCATATCTGAAAGAACATTTATTAAACACCCACTGTGTGCCAGGCACCATGCCGGGCACTGCAGAACTTCAGGAAAAGCTTCTTCCTTGTTGGCAACTGACAGCTCCCAGAACACTGGGTTCTTTTCACTGCTGTTCCAACTCCACCCACTCCACACGCAGGCCCTGGCCAGGGCTGCCTGTAACACCCTGGGAGCCCTGCATGGCCTTGAGGAAAGGGCGAGCAGGCCCAGACACTCCACCTGGCATTGCCCAGGGTGGTTCTCAACAACAATCAATCCCCAAAGAACCACGGGAAATTCCAAACTTTTCTGCCCCCACTCCCAGCCTCTTCCTCACCAAGGCTTCCTCGGAGAAGTGAACCACGTAGGAATCGTAGGAATCCGCAGGAATCCATGGCCTTTGCCAGAGAGCAGGCCAGTTGCAGCCTCGTGGCCCAGCCCACAAGGAAAGGCCTTGCCTTTAGCTCATGTCACTCCCCTAATTATTCCCTGGGCCTGGAGTCCAACAATAACAGAGCATCTTTCACGAGCAGCTCCCACCAGGAACCTTGGAACCTCATGCGTGCAGCCAAGCACTGGGAAGTGCTAAAGGGTCAGGGGGTTTGCACAGCCAGCAGTCCGGGGCCTCTGGGGGAGAATCCCAGTCGGTCTCTAGTCCAAAATCCAGATTAAAAAAAAAATGCCAGAGGCCTCAGCTGCCTCCAGGGTCTACTTCCTGGGGCTGGCCTGGATCACTGTGGGTGGGGCCCTAAGAAGGGACAGCAGCTGCACCTAAGTCACCCTTCTGAAAAGGCAAGTGGTGGGGAACAGGACACTAAACATATTTCCTCAAGGGTCACATTCCCTGAGCCAGAGCTCCCAAGGCTACAACTCTGTACTGCAAACTTTTTTTAAAAGTATTTATTAAAAATCAGTCCTGGTAGAGACATGGGGAGTAGGAGGTATGGTTCTAGGATATAATAGCAGGCAAAACAGCAAGATCCCTTATATTATTGAGGTGGGAGAGCAGGCAATAATCAAATTAATAATTTCAGAGTATGGCTAGTGCTTGGAAGAAGATAAAATATTGTTGTTGCCAGGGGTGGGGAGATAAATGGATATTTGAGCAGAGATCTGAATAAGGGTCTTGCAAACCAAAGACAAAGGGAAAGAATTCCAGGCCGAAGGAAGAGAAGTGCAAGACCCTCGGCCTCTGATTAAATGCTGATTGGGGTTTTAAGAAATGTTTGATGAAAATTAGTGTCCTCAAAATTCTAGTACAAGGTAGAGTAAGTTATTTTCTTAAGAGTAGAAAGATCAAAGTGCTACGTTGAAAAGAAAGTTGTCCTTGGCTTTAAATGAAGATGCGAAAAGAATGTGTGAGAATATATATTTCTATGTCTTTTTAAAAAGCCTTTCATGTCCTTTATCCTTTAAACTTTTAGAATATGTAGGTTGAAAGCATGATACAATCTTCAACTTTCAGCTCATGAATTGGGAGCGCTTTTTTCCCCCTCAGAATTAATGATGACTTCTGTTCTGTTGGGATGTAATTTACCTCCCTTGTTCCAGAATTTGAAATAAGAATGCCGTGTGCCTATAACTGCAATTTTGGAAACTAAAAAAAGAATGTGTGCCCGTGGATTAACGCGGTGGGAATATAGACCAGGCAGGGGTTGTTTTCTAATATTCCTTTTTTGCTATGAAAAGTGGGAAGAAAAGAATACATTGTAAATAACTGGCAATCGCCTTGTCCTCCATGCTAATGCGTTTTCCACCGCTGTTTGTATCCCATTTCTAACATCTAGACCACCTACATCCTCTCCAAGCTGCAATTAAAGTAGAGAAGTGCACGAGGTCTTTGCAAACCCTTGTACAGTGAGTGCGTCTGCTCACGTACAATCCACGTGCACTCTTCCTTCTCTCTATGGGCAGAATTTCTTGGGGATCCTTCAGGCCCCGGGCCATATTTCTCCCTGGGCGCTAATTAAAACCAGGTGCGCGGGGGGGGGGGGGGGGGGGGTGCGCGCTGGTCCTTTTGGGACAGAAAAGCCTTCGCGGGGCCCAAAGCTCCCCCTTCCGGTGTGTTTCCAAAAGGGGACTGGTGAGCAGAGCAAAGGGAAAGCTGGCAATTCGTCCGGCCGGCAGCCGGGAGTGGACTGGTCAGGGCAGGCCCGCGGCCTGGCTGTGCGAAGTGGCCAAGGGCAGAACGTGAGGCGGGGGGACCAGAGCGGCGGGTGACCTGGGGCATTCCCGCCCCGCCGCTCAGGAGCGTGGTCCGCGCGCACGGGGAGGCCCCAGAACCACAGCTCTCCCGGGCGGAGAGAAGCAGCGGAAGGGAAGCCGCAGAGCCGCCGCTTATCTGAACGTGAACCTCGGACGGGCGGCGGGCTCCGGGCTCGGGTGAGACGCCCGGCCTGCGCCCCGGGTGCGCAGAGGAGCCCTCGCCAGGAGCCCCCGACTCCCGGGAACGGCCCGCGCTCCGGCGCCGGTGCCAGGACGCCCGCGGATCGCGCAGCGCTTACCCTCGGCGGCCCGTGTCGCTCGCGTCACCAGGAACCGGGGCGGGAACAGCGGGTCAGATCGCGAGTGACGTGGTGAACTTGGCCGCGGAGCGCCCCCTTCGCACCGGTCAGGGCCGTCAGGCGCCCCGAAACTCGGAGCTTTTGGAGACGCGAGGCTGCGCAGCGCGGGGTCCTTGTGGGCTTCTCTGCCTGCGACCTTTGTCCTGAGACTACCATCCCTCCCGCTGTGGCCTGAAGCGGCAGATCTAGGAGGGCGGTTGGGCCTTCCTGCAAGGAATTTGGCGCCTCTAAGAGCTCTAAGTAAGACTCCTTAGAGAGCTGCACCTGAGCTGCCTGAATCCCAACTCCAGGCCCAGCCTCTAGGTGCGGGCGTTGGCTACTTACTAGGGTCACGGAATTGAGTGTGGGTGCTTAAATCAGACCAGTTTTCAAAGTAGGGCCTCCGAAGAAAGAAGAACATTGTTTGGACACAAAAAGTTAAGGTGCAGAGCCGAACAAGGACCCGAAAAAATGTTCTTCCAAATTTTGAGTGGCCATTTCCTGTTCCTTGAACCAAAGGGCAAGCCGGCCTGCTTCTTCATTGTCTCTAGTTACTGTTCTTAAAAGCCCGTCACCAGGTACTATATAGCCTGACAGCCTTGCTTCCTGAAGGGGTTGCATGAATTTTAAGAAACCCCAGGAAAGAGCCATCCAGATGGGAAGGTTTTTAATTTTAAAAATATGTATCTTTTTCATTACTGAGAGAGAGAGAGAGAGAGAGAGAGAGAGAGAGAGAGAGAGAGAGAGAAACATCCATGAGAGAAACACACCTGCCACCTACATGCCTGATGGGGAATTAATCAGGGACCTCTTGGTGCAGAGGTCAAGGCTCAACCACTGAGCCACACCCGCCAGGCAGACAAGAAGGCTTTTTTAGAAAGCCCTACCATCCCAAACGTTTGCCTGACACATGAGGCCCCATTAAAAAACACCCCAAAGTGAGTCACCACAGCACAACTGGGTCGGTTCCCTGTTTGTGGGAAAAAGTGCTCTCAGCCTTAACACCAATGGCCAGTTACAGGGAACAGGGAATTTCAGAGAAATTTCCAGATTCAAGCAACCCTGATAATTTCTGGCAAAACACTGTCTAAGCCAGTTTCCCAAATTGTGGTCCCTGGACCACCTACTCAGATTCCCAAGGGATCCTTGTGATAGGTTCAGGATTTAGGGCCTACACTATAGCTGCTGAGTTAGATTAAGAGGAAGAGCTGCCTTTGAACAAGCTTCAAAAAGTGTTGTTACAACTGTTCCCCTTCTTGTTAAAAATTTTTAAAAAGTCCAGTAGTAACTGACAGAAGATCCAAGGAAGCAGACTCCTAAACTGGTGATAGTGAAGACTGGAAAGAATCCTAATTTGCACTGTGAAACTGGGAAACAGGGCAGAAAAGAGAGCTAGCTTTAGCAGGAAGTCTATTGGAGAAGCAATTAGATATCCTCCCCAACTCATTACGTCTGGGTGACTGTTCCCCACCCCAGAAAAACAGTGAAGGTTTATTCCCTGGAGAGGATAAGTACATTAAAAACCAGAGGATCCAATGAAAATTTAAATACTGCCCAAGCCCTCTTCCCCTGCAGGCTGGAAGCCTGACACACACTCTCCAGAGAGGAGATTACAAGATTCTTCTCTGGTGACTCTGGCCAGCTAAAGAGAAAAGATAGAGACAGCAGGGGCTCCTGATCAGAGCAAACAAGATCACCCCAGAGCGAAGCCCATGGCTGACAAGTCCTATCCAACACACACAAAACTTCTAGTCTGATTTTTTCTGCCCCACTTGGCAGATACCAAGAATCACCAGATGTTAGAAGAAAGATTCTAATGTTAAATATGTCGTAAGAGTAAATAGAAAAAAACAAGGCTATAAAGGGAGAAGAAAACCAGGGTTGTTGTTGTTGTCGATTTTTTCACTAAAAATCACAGAGAGATAAAGGAAAATATGCATACATGAAACAAGAACAGGCTATTAAAAAGGAAAAGAAAATGAGAACAAGGCAGAGTCCTTGGACATTAAATACAGGGGTGGGTAAAAGTGGGTTTACAGTTGTTAGTACATGAAACAGTTTATTCTTGTATTATTACTTACTAATTACTAAGTGGCCCAGCACACGGATTCGTGCACATTGAAAGGAAATTAATTAGAAGAAATATTTTAATATTGCTATTTGCCCTTTCTCTATAATAGAAGTGCCAACCAAATTCATGATCGACAATGACAGATCGAAACACATGAGTGCGATTGGCGCCAGTGAGAGCTTTATATGTATTGCGTGAGTCAACTTAGCCTTTTATATATATATAGATAAACTTGCTTAATTAGACCTGCTTTATGATTTAGCTAAACTTTTTCCAGTCCAGTGAAGCACCCCAACTTCTCTTTCAGGTAATTGTCAGCAACACAGCAATAAATATCAACACAAAGCAGATTATTATTGTAGATCACACAGAGAGAACAAAGGGTAAAATATTTAACTGCAGCAGTGTTTGATTATATTCTATGCAGTGAGAAAACCTGAAGTCATTTTCAAGGTCCACCATTTCTTTCTTCTTTTCAGTCGGGTCAAGTTTCTAAGCTTTCTAAGTCTCATTTTCTGGCTAATTAAAAGAAAATAGGATTCTACCAAGTCTCCTATCTTCCTACTCCAGGACTTCTTTGAGGATCAAATGAGATGAGGTAAGGGAAAATGCTTCACAGACATTTGGTTAAAGTGTAAAATGTTTATATGTGGCTATAAAGCAAGTCGTGTTCCTGGGCTGAAGAAACTGCAAGGAGGCTAGTCGCTAGGGAGAGGAAGCCAGGTGTTGCTATGTGACGTCATTACCTGGTGCCCACAGCAACCATTTTTCTGGGCTGGACTGGGCTGTGAGTTGCATTTTGCGCCATGGGTCTTGGCAGTGTTGGCTGCAATTTGGTGGGCTGTAGCTCCAGGGTGGTGGCAGGCCTGTGTCCCACGTGGGGGAAGCCAAGTGTTGCTTTGTCAGCACCAGGTCCACAGTGCCATTTCTTTGTAAATGGCCAGTGTGCGTCACAGCAGCTCCTCCATTGAGCATCTGCCCCTGGTGGTCAGTGCACGTTATAGCGACCGGTCGGATGGTCAGAGGGACACTTAGCATATTAGCCTTTTATACATATAGATTGTATTATTTTCCATATGAACAACTGTAAACTTACTTTGCCTGTCCCGTTATGAAAAAAACTAAGGGATAAAAGGCATACATAAAAATAAAAGATGGACCAGATCAACTATATGATAACAGTTCCAGAAAGATTTATTTAAAAATAAATAAAGAGGAAGCTATCATTAAATAAATGAGTTAATTAATTATAGGATTTCTCCAAATTAAATGACATGAGTTTCCTGGTGAAAGGACCTCCTATGTGCCCAGAACAATGGTTGAAATTAAGCCAACATAAAGAAATATCGATAGGAATTTTCAGAATATTGGTACAAATAGATTTTAACTACTTCTAAAGAAAAAGGAGTGGCTGACCTAAAAAAGAATCAAGAATTGAAATAGCATTAGACTACTCAAGAGCAACACTAAAAGTTGGAAGGCAATAGTAGCTCATATTCAAGGTCAACTTTAATTGTACTGTATTATGTTGTATTATGTTCACAAGTGATCCTCACAACAACCCTCTGAATTAGGTACTATTGTTCTCTCCATTTTACAGATGAGAAATCTGAGGTACAAAGGATCAAAGTAACTTCCCAATATACACAGTTAATAAATAGTAGAGCTGGGATTTGAACCAGACAAGTCTGGTTCCAGAGTCCATGATTCTAACTGATATAGCACACAGGATCAGTGCCTTTACATTAAATGGAAAAGTATATCCCACCTAGAATTATAAATTAGGTCAAGTTATCAGTAAATGGGAAGATACTAGTAAATAAAGACATCTCTAGATATGCATGTTCTTAAGAACTATATCTCTTCTATACCCTTTCTTAAAAAGCTACTAGAGGAAGGATAAATATCGCATGATTTCACTTATATGAGGCACCTAGAATAATCAAATACATGGAGACAGAAAGTAGAACAGTGGTTGCCAGGGGTTGAGGGGAGGCGAGCATGGGGAGTTGCTGAATGGTTACAGACTTTCAGTTTGGAGTAATGAAAAAGTTCTGGAGGTGGGTAGTAGTGATGGTTGCACAATAATGTGAATGTACTTAATGCCACTGAACTGTACACTTAAAAGTGGTTAAAATGGTAAATTTTATGTCATGATTATCAAAAGAAAAAAAAAGCTGGTAGAGAAGAAGGCATGCCACCAACATGAGGGAGGGAAGCAAGAAAAAGGAAAGTTGGGATTCAGAAAGCAAGAAAGTCAATTCATGAGCAAGGCAAATGGAATCCCCAGGATAACGATGAAGGGAGATCCCAGAATAGCAGCTGTGCAGTAGGCTCAGAGAACAACCATTCCGATTGGAGCCGGTGGAAGGTTCCAGGAGTGATGTCTCCAGAAATATGAGGTAGATAGATAACATAAAGTTGTTTTTTTAACTTACCGAGAAGATATGTAGCCAACGAGGAGAGAACTTGAAGCTCAGTGAATAATTACATAAGAACCCAAGCAAACAAACAAAATATAAGGTAATTATTCTTTCTGGGAAAACTTAAAGTTGTGATAGAAAGGAAAAGTAATCTTGGTATATGGCTCAGCAGTGAATTGCATGTATCTACTGATACTAATGTGAACACTAAATATTGATCTGACCAAAACTATGATAGAATTGCATCAAGAAGATGAGGGTGTGAGAAATGTGTACCAGGGCGAGGATGGAAGCTAAATTCTTATATGCCTAAGTGGAAATTAAGATAATGCCGAAAAAAATATCAAAAAGTGGCTTAGACATATGTGTTAGTGTCAAATGCCAAAATAAACAACTAAAAGATTTAAAAGCAGTTGCCTCCAAGAGGAAGAAAATTGAGGAAGCAGAGTGGTTTGAAAACTGCTATTTTTTGTGAACTATTCGCCTCTTTAAACCATGTGAATGTATAAGTTTGGTAAAAGTTAATACTAATTTTTATAAAAGAAGACCAACACAACTCGAAAGCTCCTCCAGATAGTCCAGAAAAGTCTGTTTCTACCTCCTTGTTTTCTCAAATCAAACTTACTTTCCTCTAAGCCAGCCGTGGGCAAACTATGGCCCGCGGGCCGGATCCCGCCCGTTTGAAATGAATAAAACTAAAAAAAAAAAAGACCGTACCCTTTTATGTAATGATGTTTACTTTGAATTTATATTAGTTCACAGAAACACTCCATCCAT